ACATACATTATGAAGAAAAAAAATATTAAAAAAAAAAATCGAGATTTATAAGCAGTCAATTGCTGACACCCCCTGATGAGTGGATGGAGTGATTGATTCCTAGAGGATCTGTCTATGAAATTCTGGAGTTGGGATGCTGAATGTAACATCAATCAGCTAAGTGACAAATCTTTTACGTGTGTGTGTGTGTATGTATATATATATATTATTAAATATAATAGACAATGAATGTCTTATGTCTTCTAATGTTCAAACGTTTGCTTTAATTTCTGATGAAAATAAAGACAGAAATTGTCCATTATTTGGATATTTTTAATTAAGTTGGTCCTAAGCTTTCGGCTCACATGAACCATCCTCAGAATGGTTATACAGACATGAAACAAAGATATCCACTGTCAAAGATATTTTGTTACTTTGACATAGAAAATTTCTATGCAGCGATAATAGTTGTGGAATAGTAGACGCAGATCATAAGTTCAAGATGCGGTTCTATGATGTCATACCATCAGATACACCCAAGTATTACAACAGAACCAATGTCTAGATACAATGTAATGTGTTGTGGCTAGTTTGAAATGTAATTTTGTTGGGTGTGGTTTGCTTTATTCTTATGTAGATGGCCTCCAATATCTGAAGGTTCTTTTTACTGTGTGTATGTGTGAGTATTATTGTGTTATCAACTAATATCTAATATTATGTATATAGTTATGTTTTTCTATACATATATATGGATGGCTGGATTATCCTGTCAAGAATGACATAAGAGGGTTCAGTAAATTAAAATTTTTTGTTTTTGAATAGGAGTTTTCCATCTAGCTGCATGTTGGCCATTAACTCCTATAAGGAGTCCATCCCCCTCTATCTTAGGCCATTTTCTCTAGGCTAGTTGGAATTTAGAGTTTTCCTTCTCCTAGACCAGTTGCCAACTATGACTATATGGCCAATTCTCTTTTGCTATTTACCCATAGCTGGGGGGACAAGAAATGGATTCATAACTTTCCTAGTGGTATTTGCACTAAGTGAATGCAACAAACTCAACTGGAATTCAAACTTCAAGCCATTATCCTATTTCTTAATTTAAGCCATTATCCATTATATCACCTGCACATCCCAACCTACAGCACCTGGTATTGCCAAGCAGTCATCCATCTAGGCATGGACTGTGCTCAACATTGCTTTTATATATATATATATATATATATATAAAATGTATATTTAGGTAGTAGAAATTCATTTAAATAAATTTTCTTAAATTCAACTGTCGAGTTTCGTGTGTAACTTTTTATTATATTCTCCAACAAGTTTTTTTATAAATTTGAAAATTAGAAAGATACAGCAATAAATTAAGACAGACCATATCAGCTGAATTTAGCAAAACTGTTTTTTTATATATATATATATATATATATATATATATATATATATATATATATATATAAGTTAATGGAAATCTTGGTAATCCCTATGGATAATCCCAAGGAGGATGAAATCCGGAGGGCTCAATGTTAAGTCAGAGCAAATAATTTAATTTAAAGAAAAAACAGACCACTTTAAGGTTGTTATAATTTATTTCACCAGAGATTTTATTTTTCTCTGGATCTTCAGACTTCACTTTCAAGGGTGAAAAAATGAATTTACACTTTTGAAGACCAATATTAAACTTATATAAGGTGACATAGAGAGTGGTGAGGGACAGTGTGAGAGAGATGGTCGAAATTAGAGAGGGAAGGGAAAGTTTTAAAATTTATTTTTATTACAGTACTTAATATAGAGGAGGAGGGGGGTAAGGATCAGACATTGACCTATTTAATCGGTCAACTCACTGGAAATGATATGGGGAAAAAGAGAAAAAGAAAAAAGGAAAAAGTAGGGGAAGAGATAAGAAATAAGATATGGACTTAGGGTTTTGAAGAAAGATGTTTGCTGAAACCTCCTGATAATTAGTCCAAACAATTACAAAAAGACTCGTCTATGAAAATCTGTAGTTAGGGTGGTGAATATAACATCAAATAGCTTAGTGGCATATTGTGTGTGTGTGTGTGTGTGTGTGTGTGTGTGTGTGTGTGTGTGAGAGAGAGAGAGGGTGACTAAGTATGCTGCTTTACACAATTTGGATTTGAAATTTTCATTGTATAATATTTAATTTATATATAAGGAAGAAAATGGTGAATTACCATGTGTCTTACAGAATGCCATGTGTATCCTACGATGGAAAATGTGGCAAAAAAGAAAGAAAAAAAAAAAGAAAAAGAGGCATCTATTCTGCATAATATGCTGAAGAGAGAATATTTAAATTAGAAACAAGTCAGTTGCAGGAGTCACGATAAAATATTTTGATATGCTAATATTGTGTGTCCTCTCCCAGTTGTCTACAAATGGAAAAAATGCTTTGCTGATAAAAGCGGTTGGTGTTCTCGAATTAGAGTGGGAAATAAATAAAAATTGTGTATTTTGGCTACTGCATTCATTGGTAAGTGAGTTATTTTTCTGACTGGTTACGTGCATTGTGATTTGTGACATAGTACCTGTGAATTGAGATTTCGGCATTTCTTTCTGCCCCTGATATTCTAATCTGAACTTACAGTGATTTGTTCTCTGCAATGTGGAAATAATCTGTGACAAATATTTCCTTTGCAATCCCAGCACTCCTACACTATATGGTCACTATTCATCATGAATTGTTTTGACAATAAAAAAAAAAAAGAACATGTTGAAAAGTAAATGCTTTTTTTCTTTTTTCATCATTAGCCTATGGACTTATAGGTGTACTTCCATCTGTGGATGTACCAATATTAATAAAAAAAAAAATAAATAGAACTTTTATTCACCCAAACTATATATAGATTTTGGATTAAAAATAGAAATAGTCCTATTTGAGCTTAATGCATTTGTCAAACAATCTATCATAAGGATTTATATTATATTCAAATTTTTTCTTTTCCCTCCTAAGTGGTATTTGTTTGAGAAATTTTACTGAAAAAATGTCTCTTTTGTATTGACTTCCTGAGCTAACTATATACCATGGTTAGTCAAAACACAACTGATGAGTCACACGTGGCTTTTTGGAATTTAATCTATGGCTCATGGAAATATATTAGCCAAGTTCCATTTCTCATTACAATTACTATACAAAGTTTATTAGAAAAAAAACAAGTTATTATTGGGTATGGGCTACAAACACACTGGATTGAAATTAGTTTAAAATCCATGGTTAGTAAAAAAAAAATAATTAACCCTTCACTTGGAACCAGTATCGCAATGATGATGACACCATATCTGCTGTTTATGACATTTTAAACTAACAGGATGAAAGCTTCTTCACCAATGGAATCCAATCATTTCAACACCAATGGAAGTGTGTGAACTGCAAGGGTGGCTATGTTGAAAAATAAACCTCATTTGGTCACATTCCATAGGAGTATCTTGATCAACCTATGAACCTTTCAGCCAACTCGTGTATATGATTAAATATTTTACCTTTGGCATTATAAAACATGTAAATCTGTGGTAAGTCTATAGAATCTATGATTATCGCATAATTTAGTATGATATAATTTGGGAAAATAAAATCAATGAAAATTTCCAGAAGCCTGCCACAGAAATTACTGGAGAAGATTCTTGTATCTTAAGCTTGATTCCTAGTTTGATCTTCATCATGCAGGACACATGAAATTTTTAAGGGATCTGATTAAGATAAAATGTGTTTTATATGTCAAAAAAATAATAAAACATTGAATTTAGACAAATTTTTCAAAACATCAACAGAAACTGAAGTAAAATTATGTATTTCAGGTATTAATTACCTGCAGCTATGTTTTCTAAAATGAATGTGTTAGTTACTCACAGGTATATATTCTCGAAATCAGTTTGCTAACTATTCACAAGCATGTTTTCCCAAAATCACCTTTTGTAAACTATTCACATGTGTATTTTTCCAAGATCACATTTTACTAACTATTCACAGGCATGTCTTCAAAAATTTATCACTTGCAAAAATGTTATGTCAAAGTGGCTATAAGTATATCATATATATGTTATTAGTTGAAGAATATCAAACACTTAAAATCTCATAGGTAACAATTTTTATTTCATAAGAGCTCTAAAAAAGCAGCCATCAATCAGGTGATTTTGTTTGTAGGTCTTGAAGATTGAGAGCACTTTTTTTTTTAAAGGTCTCATGAAATAAAAATTATTACCTATGGGATTTTAAGTGTTTGATATTCTGTAATTAATAATTATTTTGCTCTGTCTTTAGACATAGAACTCTTTCTGGATTTATATCCTCCTGGAAATTCCATACAGATTACCATATTGTATTATTACTTAGTATCACATGAACTCAAAGCATATAATGTAAATTTTTGTTAATCATTTCGCTCCAAGCGAGATAATGAACCCACTAAGATGTAAGAGGTCACTGAGTTTGAGAAAATATGAAAAAACAAAAAAAACATTATTAAGGAGTGAGAACAGTAAAAGAACAGAATTTAAGAGGACAGAAGATAATGATTGATATTGATCTTCAAAAATTTAAATGCAAAGTTGACTGAAAAGCAAGAAACTGGAAGAGAGTTCTACAAGCGAGAAGTGTGAGAGAAGAAATTGTTAGCATATTAACTGACTTAAAAAGAAGACAAGGTTAATTTTACTTTAAATTAAATTCTTTTATTACTAACACCTGCCAAATATGAATGCACCTTAGAATTCTAAATTTTAACTTGGAAAGATTTTTATATAACCATTAATTTAAAATGTTGTCAAACTTTTAATTAATATTTGCTGAAGATATTTGACAGTTTTCTTGCTTTGGGGTGAAACAAGCTAGTTCAGCAATTTTTTATTGTTGTGCCTGATTTTGATCTTAATTTAATTATTAAAATGCCCAACAAAATAGCTATTCATTTTCCAGCAGAGTTCTTCCAGTAAATTTTTTCCGGGTTTTGCAAAAGAGTTTAACAACATCTGCTCATATTACCAACTGGGGAAAGTAATTTTTCATCTTAGAAGCTGTAAAAGAAAGTCCCAAACAAATTATACCAAAGTTTTAGAGAAAAGAATGTAGTGATACAATGGAAAGGTAGGAGAATGAGGTGATTGAAAATAAAAGAAGAAAGGGAATGGGTTAAAGAAATGAGAGAGAACAGCCCCACCTCCAAAATGGTAAATAACTGAAGTGTAAAGAGATGGTCTGATGAAAGAGATGAACATTTGAATAAGTTAAAAAAAAAAAAAAAAAAAAAAAAGCCAAAATGAAGAAGAAGTGGAAAAGAAAAGGAGAGCAAGGAGCGGAGAGAAAAAAGAAGGAGAGCAAGGAGCGGAGAGAAAAAAGAAGGAGAGCAAGGAGCGGAGAGAAAAAAGAAGGAGAGCAAGGAGCGGAGAGAAAAAAAGGAAGAAGGAGAGAAAAAAGGAGCAAGGAGAGAAAAAAGAAGGAGAGCAAGGATCGGAGAGAAAAAAGAAGGAGAGCAAGGAGCGGAGAGAAAAAAGAAGGAGAGCAAGGAGCGGAGAGAAAAAAGAAGGAGAGCAAGGAGCGGAGAGAAAAAAGAAGGAGAGCAAGGAGCGGAGAAAAAAAGAAGGAGAGCAAGGAGCGGAGAGAAAAAGAAGGAGAGCAAGGAGCGGAGAGAAAAAAAAAGAAGGAGAGCAAGGAATGGAGAGAAAAAAGAAGGAGAGCAAGGAGCGGAGAGAAAAAAGAAGGAGAGCAAGGAATGGAGAGAAAAAAGAAGGAGAGCAAGGAGCGGAGAGAAGAAAGGAGGGAGAGCAAGGAGCGGAAAAGAAAGGAGGGAGAGCAAGGAGCGGAAAAGAAAGGAGGGAGAGTAAGAAGCGGAAAAGAAAGGAGGGGGAGAAAGTAGAGAGTAAAAGAATATAAAAAAGATGCAAAGATAACAGACACAAAATAAAGTAAAATGAAACAGAAGAGCAAAGGGAGAGAGAGAGAAAGAGATAAGGGAAAGCATTGAAAAAAGAAAAGCAATAAAAAAGAAAGAGTAAGAAAAAATAGAGATTTAAAAAAAAATAGTGACAAATTTAGCCAAAAGATAAATGTGATTGACAGAGAGAGAAAGAGGAAAAGGGAATAGAGTTAGAAAAGAAAGAAAGAAATGAAGAGGAATTCTTGTTTTGACTATCATCTTGGAAAATGCAAATTCATTTTGTTGGAGTGGCAAGTAGTGGACTTTTGGTCTGTATTTCATCACAAAATGTGAGAAAGAAATACATCAATAGACAGGAAAAGATGGAAGTCACCTGCTGATTTGATCCTAGCAAGGAATCTTTGATAAATATTGATGGGACACATCTCAGCTCATAACCGATATTTTTACATGTCTGAGATCCAAGAGTTTGTAAACAAACAATCACAGAATTCATCACATATTTACACAAAATTTAACACTTCACTTATTTACATTATATTCATCATCTTAAAAAAAAAATACATTATGGTATCTCAGTTCCATTTGCAATGCATTATGGGATCTTCTTTCCATTCGCAATGCATTATGGAATATGCTTCCAATTCAGTAAATTTCTTATTACTCATAAGATGTGCTATTCCCAAATTAAGTGTTGCATTAAACTGAGCTCAGCTAAGAAAATATTTATTGAAGTTGAATGCTAAAGGTTTACTACCAAGTCTAGTTAATTTGTTGATAAACCTGATTAAACTCGGATTTGTTACCAAACAAAAAAGAAAACATCTTAAGAAGTTTCAAGAACGAAGAGAGTCTACTGCCACATGGATCTGGGATGTTTACACTGTGACAGAAACCAACAAAATCTGGTAATGCTGTGTGGTACTGTTGTGGTGCCTTGAGTTTATGATAATGATACCTTTGATTGGAAACCATGTCTGGTTGATAAAGGTTTTATTAGTGACACTACTGTTGCTTTTCACATAAGTAGTTGCTACATACAATAAATAAATCATAATTGTTAACAGCAAATCCACTTAATATGCCTTTTAGAAGAAATATGGAAATTGACAAGAAGAAATTAATAAAATATATTTATATTTTCATTTCTTCCTTTATGAGGTGGTACTACAGAAATGAACTGAAACATTCAAATTCTTGGCATCAAATCAGTTTTATATACTGAAATATTTGTGCAGCTTAAATATGAGTTAGGGTGGTTGATTTTATGACATGCCTGTCCATGTCTGTAGTGGGAATCCATTCAATACATAATGACCATCTTTTCCTCTAAGGTCAAATTCCCTCAAGGGCAGGTAATCCATCCTTTTCACCAAGACAGAAATAAACAAAATATTGATAATTCCAATCTTTGTTGGGTTATTTAATATTGAATTTTGTATGGGGCACCCAGTGAGTATCCAAGTGGATAATATCACTCACTAGGTCTATGTTGCACAAGCAAATGGCTATCATTTCAAAAAGAAATCAGATTTTTTTTCATAAGAAATAAATTGAGAGATGTTTAAGAATAGCAAGTATTGAAAGCTGAGAAAGACAATGGTAATTGTGATGTGAAATCAATCACTGCTTCACTTGATATGATACATATTCTTTAGAATGACAGAGTACATTCATATCCCATGATCAGTTAACATAAGTTAGTTAAGTCTGCAGTCCAACCACTGGGCCACACAAAAAGAATAAATACATTTTTTCCCCATTTTAATGACTATCAAAGTCTTGTGTATGTTGCTTTGTTATGCATATGACCAACATAGACCCCACCCCTGTTCAGGGAAAAATTGTCTTTCATGACACTAGTCAATGAGGGGGGGGACTGCTGAGTTGAGGTATACAATATACTATTCTCTTATTCTTCAGACTTTAATAGTTGAATTCTTCAGTAAATAGAGGATACTTTACATTTTGCTCACTTTGGAGAAAGTACACAAAAGAGATACTGAAAATTGATAGATTTTGTTTTCCTTGAGAACAACAAATTTGTTCAGTAGACTAAGCGTGAATATTATTTAAAGTGGATGGGTTGCTGAAAGGGCACTCTCACTTTCTCAACACCCAAGGTTATTTTTTCCAACAGTATGCTGAAACACCACAGCTGGTGGCCATTTTAGCTGCAAGAGTTGCCAGAAAGGAAATAGAATTTACTACTAGTCTAAGGGGACACGCTCAAGGTTCTAGAATAAGTCGTTCATGTCCGAGGCTGGCTGCAATCAAGGAAAAAGAGCCCAGTCTACACTTCTATTTACTCAGAGAATAACCACAAGAATAAGAGCTGAATGAAAATAATTATTGGATATAAATAATAATAGTGATGAAAGTAATGGCAGTGGTAGTAGTAGCAATAATATTAATAATAATTTATTAAGGTTGTTGCTAATAAAATTATTACTATCAGAAAAAATTTGATTACCAACAAAATAATTACAATACTTAGTGTATTTTATAATTTCTTTTCTTCTCATAATGTTGAAACTTAAAAAAATATTTTCTAATGTACTCACAAGAATTCGAACATGTCATTTTCACATTTTTCTATGTGTACAAATATGGATATCTCCTAAATAAATCTCCACATCTTGACAAAGTCCTTGAAGAATAAACACATTTAAAAAGTAAGATTTCCTATTTTATTATATATATGGGACAGTGCAGAGGATTTGGAAAGAGTCTGATGGGTCTAAGGGTGATTATGAAGGTGTTTGGAGTGATCACAAGTGATAGCAATATTCTGCTTCTGCAAACATCTTTCTCTTCAGTGACTTTAATGCTCACCACAGCATGTGGCTTATATATTCTAAAGTTACTGATGTTGCTGGGGTTCAGACATTAAATTTTTCCATTGCCCAATGCCTTACTCAAATCGTGGACTCCCTTACTTGTTTCCCTAGCAAAACCAAGCAACATGTTTCTCTACTTGATTTATTTCTTACCTCGCTCTGGCCGAGATTTGCAACACTGCCCTCTTGGTAATTCTGACCACTCTGTGTTAGCTATTGATATTTCGTTCCAATCATCTATTAGGCAGGAACCCCATATCCACAACCTCTTTCTGTTACCAACATGGTGATCGGGACTGTGATTTTCTTCATGATGTCCATTTGACTAACATCTTTACCCTACAAAATGAAAATTGTGCCACTGAGGTTTCTCCTTGGGTCAAAGCCAGCATTGTGCTTTTATCCCTTTTTGGAAATATCAGGTGAAACCTTAAATGTCTGCATGGTTCACACCAGCATGTTCAGCCACTATAGCACACAGAAACCACTATTTTTTCGCTATACCAGTGTGACAGCTGTCATCACAACAGGCACCTATTCGTTGTTGCTTGCAATAAATGTAAGCAAGTCCTCAAAGGAGCAAAATCCATGTTTGCTGAGAGAATGAGGCACTGCATAGCCTCTAAAAACTTTGGCTCTTGTGATTACTGGCAGCTCTATAATGGAGCATTAAGTGTAAGGTCTTTATTTCTCCCCTCTTCAATCAATATGAGGTGTTAACATCCTCTGCTGATAAAGCTGAATGCTTTGCATGTAAATTCTCCTAAAACTCTACTCTTGACTCATCCAGAATATCCCTACATAACTTCCCTCCTAGAACTGAATCTCTGTTGAGTGATATGCGTATAACCCCTTCCATGGTTTCTGCTATCATCTCTAATCTAGATCCCCACAAAGCATGTGGACACAATGGTATCTCTGTAATAGTCATTAAAAAGTGTGCTCCCAAACTGGCTCCTGTTCTCTCCAAACTATATAATAAATATCTTGCAGTCTTCTGCTTTCCTGCTTGCTGTTTTTAAGAACTTCTAACTATTAGCCTTCTTTTTGGGAAACTCCTAGAGGCCCTAATCAATGCTGAAGTTGTTCATTGTCTCTCATCACAGGGCCTTTTCTCAGACAAGCAATATAGCTTTCATTTTTCCAGGTCAACTGCTGACATACTGACGATAATTGCATTTATCATACTCAAGATAAAAACAGTGAAGCTCAGGCTGTAGAATTGGACATACTGAAAACCTTTGACAGCATCAGGTATTCAGATGTTCTTCACAAGCTAAAAAAGTTACAATGTCTCCAGGCACTTTTCAAACTGTCTAGATCATTTTGTACTAACACGGATGTCCCCCAGGACTTCATCTTTGGTCTTAATCTATTTTTAATTTTCAGAAATGACCTTCCTGATGACATCATCTCTCCACTTAGTATCTACACTGATGACACAATTTATTCCTGCTTCAATAGTAAGGCTTATCAATCCAACAAGGTCAAAATGGCAGCTGATATCCAAAATGACCTCAAGTCCATTATTAACTGAGGCTTGTTAATTTTAAAAGACTCCAAAAATTAACCTTCTCTCCATTAATCATCTGAGAGATCACTCGCTGCCTTCTATAAGCATGGCTGATGCTAACCGCCAGGAAAGTGACTCATTGTGCCTTTTTGAGCTCATGTTCTCAGCTGACATGAAGTGGAAAGACTATAGCGAATCCATTGTGAAGTCAGCTGCTAAGAAAGTCAGTTTTCTTGCACTTCTTGCTTGTGAAGCTGTCTTCCTGCTCCATGCCTTCCAGTCAATTTTAATCTACAAAAATTGAAATGCAATATCAATTACTATCTACTGTGCTCCTGATTACTCTCTTCTCTTTCAGCTCATCATTAATGTTTCTGTTCTTAATTTTTTCACACCCTGTAACCTCTCGTGTTTTAGTGGAACTACTGTTTAGTATGGGGGTAATACCGATGAAAAAACTCGTCTTCCCACAGGTCCTCAGACTCAACACAGAGGCCTCAAGTGGGTCACTGCTGGAAACCCTATGTTTAGCAACAGAACTCTGCACCATGCCACACAAGCAAGAGAACCCAGTCATGGATGTTAGACAATTTCTGCGACCATATCACCCCTTACATCTGGTCACCTAACTCCCCAGACTGCAACCCCCTTGATTATTATGTATGGTGTGCAGTTGAGTGAGAAACCATCAAAACTCCCTGTAACACTAAATATCAACTGAAGGCAAGGTT